ATTAGAATTAGTTTTCTAAGATCTTTGTAATGTTTTGGGGGATACTGAGATATTCATAAACTTTAGACTTTATGAAGTATGCCTGATAAAATTCAAGAGAAACCACCAAAACCAGAAATAAAATGTATAACTTCCAAACCAGTACATGGGAAAAAGAAAAGCCTAGGGAATCTTTAAAGACAAACGAAAAAGCCTCAAACAATCCAAAATAAGACAAAACAGGTGACAAGAGAATAAGGATACAAGGATAAAACAAACAAACAAAGTAAAGGTCTAAAATACATCATGACAATAAAGGCAAATGGACTACACTCACCAAATAAAAGAATGACAAATTGCTCTATCAGACGTTTTTTTTGTTTTAAATCCACCTCAATCTTACTTACAAGAGACATACCTAAGATATAAAGACATGGGAAGGTTGAAAGTAAAGGGTAGAAAAATGTATACCAAGCAAATTTTAGCAAAAAGAAAACTAGTTAAGCTAAGCTAATATCACACAGAGGAGACTTTAACACAAGAAGTATTTTTAGGGACAGAAAGAGTCACTATATAATGATAAAAGGTTAATTCACCAAAAAGATATAAAAATTCTAAACTTATATGCACTCCTCACTTCAAAATCCTCAAAATATATAAGGTGAAAAACCACAGAAAGAAACTAAAAAATCCACTTCAATAGAGAAGATTTCAAAATACCTTTCTCAATTATTGATATATCAAATAAATAAAAAATTACTAAAGATAAAAAAGACTTATGGCAGCACAAGTAAGCTTGATTTAACAGACATATATAAGCTCCTGCATTTCATAGTTAGAGAATATACATTCTTCTCAAGCACATGGTATATTTACAAAATATGACCACTTATTAGTCCATAAAGGATGTCTTAGTAATTCAAAGAATCAGTACCACAAGGACACATTTTCTGACTGTAACGCAATTACATTAAAAATCAATGACAAGAGATGAATTTTAATATCTCCAGAATTTGGCAATTTCAGAAACATACTTTAAAATCACTCATGGCCATAGGTCATAGAAGATATAATAAAAAGTTTAAAAGAATTGAAACTGAATAATAATGAAAATACTATATAGCAAAATGTATGGATAGCCATACAATGGATTCAGCAATAAAAAGGAACTATCAGCACAAGTTATGTCATGGATGAACCTCAAAAGCATTATAAGAAGTGAAAGAAGTCAGACACAAGAAGACCACATATTGCATGATTCTAGTTATATGAAATGTCCAGAAAAGGCAAATTTATATAGAGAGACGGTAGATTAGTGATTGGCTAGGCATGGGAACAGGGATTACTGCAAATGGGCAAAAGAAATCTCATTGAGGGAAGAAAATGTTCTAAAACTGATTTAAAACCTGCAGCCCGGCTGATGAGAAAGCCCTAACAGTGACCCTGGGGAGCCTCAGCGCCCAGCTTACAGTACTTGCCAGCAGCACACCCCAGTCTAAAGCTCAGTCTGGCAGTGCAGTCCAGCCCATGGCCATGCCCAGTTGCTGAGCAGAGCCTGTGGTCTCACCTCAGCCAGAAGCCCAGTCAGGGACCCCACCTGACCATGGAGTGCAGCCTCAAACCACACCCAACTGTGGGGTACAGCATGCAGCCCCACCCAATCGGGAAGTCTACAGTCCACCAACAGCAGAGCCCAGCCACCATCCTGTCCAATTGGGAAACCCGGCCTGTGACCCCACCTCATTACAAAGCACAAGCTGAGGTCACATCAGATCATGAAGCTTTTGGCCTGTGGCCCTGCCTGAACACAGAGGCTAGGCAGTGGCACCATCTGGCCAGGGTCACAGCCAGAGACCCGGCCTGATGAGAGGTGATTGTGGAACCCAGCTAGTGACCCCACCTGACCTCAGAGCACAGCCTCACCTGACCAGAGAACCCAATCAGCGGCACCACTTGACCAAAGAGCCCAGTCAGTGGGTGCCCCTCACCTCAGAGCATGGCAGCAGCTTTGCCCAACCAGAGACTGCAACACATTGTAATTAAATTATCAAAAGTCAAAGACAATTTTGAAAGCATCAAGAGAAAAGCAATTTGTCACATACAAGGGAGCCCCTACAAGACTATAAGCATATTTCTCAGGAGAAACTTTGGAGGCCAGGAGAGAGTGGGATGACATATTGAAAATATTGAAAGAAAAAACTGTCAATGAAGAATACTACACCCAGCAAAGCTGTCCTTCAGAAACGAAGGAGATGTAAAAACTTTCCCAGACACACAAAAGCTGAGAGAGTTCATCACCACTAGACCTGCCTTACAAGAAATGCTAAAGGGCATTCTACAAGCTGAAATGAAAAGATGCTAATTAACCTTGTAAAAATGCATGATTGTATAGAACTCATTGGTAAAGGTAAATATATAGTCAAAGTCAGACTCTCTAATATTGTAATAGTGGTGCATAAATCACTTTCAACTCTAGTTTAAAAGTTAAAAAACAAACATACTAAAAATAACTGTAACTACAATAATTTGTTATTGGATATACAATATAAAAAAATGTAAATTGTAACATCAATAACCTAAAATGTGAGGGGGAAAGAAGTAAGAGTATAGAGTTTCTTCATGCTATTGAAGTTGTTATCAGCATAAAATAGAATGTTATGAATATAAAATATTTTCTGTAAGCAACATGGTGACTGCAAGGGAAAACCTGTAACAGACACACAAAAAGTGAAGATAAAGGAGTCAAAGCATACCATCACAAAGCCATTAAGTCCCAAAGGAAGACAGCAAGAGAGGAATAAAGGAAGGAAGGAACTATAAAACAGTCTGAAACAGTTAGTAAGTCCTTACCTATCAATAATCAAATGTAAATGGATTAAACTCTCCAGTCAAAGGACACAGAATAGCTGAATGGATGAAAAAACAAGATCCAATGATACGCTGCCTACAATAGACTCAGCTTAGCTTTAAGGATACGTATCGGCTCAAAGTAAAGGGATGAAGAAAGATATTCCTTGCAAATGATAACCAGAAGACAGCAGGAGTAGCTATACTTACTGGATATTCACATGCAGAAGAATGAAATTAGCCCTCTATCTTACACCACTCACAAAAATTAACTCAAAATGTGTTGAAGACTTAAATGTAATATCTGAAACCATAAAACTCTTAGAATGAAAAATAGGGAAAAGAACTCCTTGACATTCGTCTTGGCAATGATTTTTTTGATATGACACCAAAAGCACAAGAAACAAAAGCAAAAATAAACAAGTTAGACTAAATCAAACTAAAAATCTTCTGTGTAGGAAAAAAAATCAGCAAAATGAAAAAGCAATGTATGCAATGGGTAATATATCTGATAAGGGGTTCATATCCAAAATATATAAGGAACTCACAATTCAATAGTTAGAAAAAAACCCCAAATCATCTGAATTAAAAAATGGGCAGGGGCTGGCCCCATGGCCAAGTGGTTAGGTTTGCACGCTCCGCTGCAGGCGGCCCAGTGTTTCGTTGGTTTGAATCCTGGGCGCGGACATGGCACTGCTCATCAAACCACGCTGAGGCAGCGTCCCACATGCCACAACTAGAAGGACCCACAACTAAAAATATATAACTATGTACCCGGGGGCTTGGGGAGAAAAAGGAAAAAAATAAAATCTTTAAAAAAAAAAAATGGGCAAAGAACCTTAACATTTTTCTAACCAAAGACGATGTACAAATGGTCAACAGGTACATGAAAAGGACTCAACAGCATTAATCATCAGGGAAATATAAATCAAAACCACAACGAGATATCACTTTACATCTGTTAGAATGCTATTATCAAAAAGACAAGAGCTTACAAGTGCTGGTGAGGATGTGGATAAAAGGGAACCCTTGTACACTATTAGTGGGAATGTAAATTGGTGCAGTTGCTATGGAAAACAGTATGGAGATTCCTCAAAAAATTAAGAATAGATCTATCACATGATGCAGCAATTCCAATTCTGGGTATTTATCCAAAGAATACAAAAACACTAATTTGAAAAGATATATGCACCCCTATGTTCATTGCAGCATTATTGCAATAGCCAAGATATAGAAACAACATAAGTGTCCATCACAGATGAATGGCTAAAGAAAGTGTAGAATATTATTCAACCATAAAAAAGAAGGAAATCCTACCATTTGCAACAACATGGATGAACCTGGAGGGCATTATGCTAAGTGAAATAAGTTAGGCAGAGAAAGACAAATACTGTATGATTTCACTTAAATGTGAGATGTAAAAAAGCTGAACTCATAGAAATAGAGAGTAGATTGCTGGTTGCAAGGGCCTGGGAGGGTGGGGGAAATGGAGATATTTGTCAAAGGGTACAAACTTTCAGTTATAAGATGAATAAGTTCTGGGGAATCTAATGACTATAGCTAACAATACTGTATTGTCTGCTTGACAGTCGCTAAGAGAGTAAATTTTAAATGCTCTTGCCTCCAAAATAAATATGGTGAGGTGATGGATGTGTTCACTAATCTTACTGTGACCATCATTTCACAATATACACATGGGTCAAATCATCACATCGTACACCTTACACTTACACAGTGTTATATGTCAGTTACAACTCAGTAAAGCTGGGAAAGAAAAGAAAGCTAACTCAGAAGTGTTTGCACAGAAGAGACTTATAAAATGACATATTTTTTAATTGAATGGATATTAACACAATCTCTTTTAAAACGCTGTGACAAACTGTTCTGACATTTAAAATGTGACCATTTCGGGGCTGGCCCCATGGTCGAGTGGCTAAGTTCACGCGCTCCGCTGCAGGCAGCCCAGTGTTTCATTGGTTTGAATCCTGGGCGCGGACATGGCACTGCTCATCAAACCACGCTGAGGCGGAATCCCACATGCCACAACTAGAGGGACCCACAACGAAGAATACGAAACTATGTACCTGGGGGCTTTGGGGAGAAAAAGGAAAAAAATAAAATCTTTAAAAAAAAAAATGTGACCATTTCACAAGTTAATGAATTTACCATCTTACCTGCTTCACTTCCCAAGCTCACTTCTTCATCTGACAAAACTAACCTTAAGTAAAAACCAAAAAAGGCAAAGATTTTGGTTATAATACATTTGGGACTCATTCTACCAACAGCTTTATATGGTTAAAACAATTTTTTTTAACTGAGGAGATACATAAAACAGTTGTCCAGCAGATCTCCTAAAATCTGTCTGAGAGGAATCTTACTTCTTCTCTAGATCTACAGAGACCGTGAAAACAATCCTTCACCCCTTATTTTTACTGAGTAGTGACAAAGCACCAGGCACTGTGTCCAGCACTGCAGGCACTGGGCTAAGTACCATATCATAGAGAACATCTGTCAACAAAGCCGTCGAGTGTGAAGTCAGTTTTCTAGCATTCCAGGGTTTTGCTCCAGAATACTCGGGAGCGAAACGGGGGGAATGAAGAACTGCAGAAAAACGGAGTACGCTATCTTCACCAACAGTGACATTTGCAAATGAAGACACGTTTGCCCAAAACATTCTCAATCAATACAAATTTTGGATATTTATATCATCCATCTGGTATAATAATAAAAAAATGAGACAAAGAAATTGAACACAGATTTAGTCATTATTCCAACTGTGAGGTATAACCTCACAATTCTAGTATTGGAGGTTGTTTTTAATAAGTCGTTAAAGACACAAAAAGTGATACAGTATTTATTTGCAAATACTACAAAAATAAACCTACAGAGAAAATAGATACTTATGACTTGGAATGAAATTTCCAATGACAATATACATATATGGTTTTTTAAACAACTTGGCTGGAAGGTGAAGGTGCTTTGGAAGCTGTTAGCAAACTCAAAGGGTAGCTCTCATAACGCTGAAGATGATTTTGAATAAAACTTTCATGAAATATGATAATTGAAAAAATTTACTAAATTAACATATTTAACATAACATATAATTTTAAATGTCAATGTGTAACTAAATTAATAAGTTTAATTTATAACTATACATTTGATTATTTAATCTACATTCTAAAACATTTATATATTCAAGTTAGCCAGAAAGAATGTCTGGATTTCCCAATAGAGGAAAGGGGGAGATGCTTATATTCCGGATCACCGTCCACTCAACAGCATCTGGTTTGTCACTGTTTGGGCCTTATCTCTGGGTTCATTATTATAGTCGGTGCAATCTGGTTAAAACGAGAAGTGGCAGCTCAGAACGGAAAACAAAGGTGAGATGTGATAAAGGGAAACGGGCAGCGTGAGGCGGTGCAGGGCAGGAGGCCGCTGTCGGGGAACCAGGCCCACTCCCGCCTGTGCTGTTCTGGAGACAGACTTTCAGCAGTTTCTCTCTCACAGCTGCTGCACCTGCACCTGTCCCTTCCTGTTTCAAGCCGCCCTTCCAGGATCGCCAGGTAGAAACTCTTAACACAGGCTCAGCCCACCAAACTACAGAATTTGGACTGATCACCCCAACTGTTCTGTACTCCTATCATCGACTTTGCCTCCCATGTTAAAAATGGGGAGAAAAAAAGGTTCAAAACAAATGTTTAATGTTAATTGGAAAAATGACATAGAAATAGGTATCCAGTAAGCCAGAGAAGAAACAACTGTTTCCAGATACATCACACAGTGCATCCAGGACTCCATAGCACGATATACAACCTCTGCCTGCTTACTTATCGAGGTTTCCAGGGAGAGAGTCGCTTTCTATCTGTCCTTTGTGGTCTTCAGTAGGCTTGCTTGAAGTGTCTTGCACTTGCTAAGGATAAGAAATTCAACGTTAGGGAGATGGAAAGAATCCGTTTCTCTCTTTGTGAAACAAAACGAGAATAAAAATTCTAAAAAACAACATAAAATAGAATAGTTCTGAAGTAGAGAGTGAGAGATATGGGAAATGTCTGCTAACGTAGTTTGAACGGAGCCGGTGTCCTTGTTTACCCTGACGCCTGTGTGTGCTTGTGACTTAGGCTGGCCACCAGCTTTACAACTTTGTCATATGCCAAAGAAGACTTACACTGTGTTGCTGGCCTCTATTGCAATGCCCTAAATCCAGCTAAAGATTTTCAACTTAAATTCTGAGCAGAAATTAGATATTAAATTTGCCTAAATACACAGTATGCTATCCAGTGAAGCACTCATATAGAAAAAGTAAAAAACAAGACAAAACAAAACACACACACAACAAAAAACCCAAAAGTCTAATTCAAGAGTATCTATTAGAACAAAAGACGTTATGTCAAAACATGACTGAAAGATCCATACCAGGCCCCAGGAATACGCAACTGCAAGATGTGAACCTGTCACAGACACCACATCTGCCCTGAGCAAACCACCAACGACATTTTCAAGCTCTACTGCAAATAAGGCAGAATGGTAAGTTCAGAGGTGCTGAACCCCAGCCTGCTGGAACTGAAGAGATGAGCACCACGCTGCAGCTCTGCTGGACCCGCCTTGTGCAAAGAAGGTTGACAGAAGACTTACAAATCTTAACAGCGTTATAATCACAGCCCGAGAGAACCTGGACCACGTAGGCGTCACAGAAAGAGCTAGTCTAACACAGTAGTCTCTTCAGCTGCAATCACACACACATAATGACCCAACTGGCAGAATTTTTGCATCGTGAATCACAGCGATGACATGAGTGTAAAAGTAAAGCAAGGAAATTTTTCTTTAACTTCTAAAATTATCAGGTAGGTAATCTGGTCATTTTTACATAAACACAGGACACTTTCCACCACTTGTTCCTCCTAAGTTTTCCTTTCCATAAACCTTCTCTTATCTCTTTTGCATTTCACTTTTCTTTTCACTTTCTCCTTCTTTTATCCCCCCCACCCTACTAGTATCGTGAGCCGGCCGGTAGGTTCCCATGTATTTGTTCAGTGTTGCTGGTAGCACTTGGAATGCGTGAATTGCAGAAAAACAGCTGGCCGAAGGAGTGTAGAAAAATGTTTCCCAATGTTTTGTAAATTTTAAATTAGGCTTAGCAAAAATAGTTTCAATGTTATTATCCAAATAAAGCATAATAATCTAACACAAGATAATGGAAAAAATGTACCTTGAGAGCTACAAAATCATATGGATGAAAGCCAGTACAGGCCCCATGGATTTGGGACATCGTTCGAGCTGTTTTCTCCCAGAATCCAAGCAGTGTCCTCTGCAGAAAAAGAAAAGGTGGCACTACCGTTCTTGTTCGAATCCAGGACGTTTTTCGGAGCTATGTTTCCTTCCCAGTGTGGTAGAGAAAACGTAGCTGAATAAGAAGAAGCAGGAACTAAAACCAGTTTCCAAGTTTGGGGAACTGGAAAGCACTGTAAATAGGAATTCTCATAAGAATTGGCATGAGCGTCTGCATGTCTGTGCGCCTGTCTGTACACAGCACTGGGATGCACACTGGAGCCAGCTGGAGGGAAACTGCAGCCAAGAGGACAAAACTGCAGGATTAGAACACCTTCCAAAAGGGAAATGGTAAAAGCACAAAAATACCATATTTGTTTTAGGGGTATTTCTGTAAATCTTTATGTTGGTAAGCATATACAAACCTCATGTAGTTGGAGAAAAATAATATGAACCACTAAATTCGGTCTTTCATTTAAGGTTCAAGAAAGACTTGCCCGGGGGCAAGTGGCTGAGTGGTCAGGTTCATATGCTCCGCTGGGGCAGCCTGGGGTTTCGCTGGTTTGGATCCTGGGTGCGGACATGGCAGCGCTCATCAAGCCACGCTGAGGCAGGGTCCCACATGATACAACTGGAAGGACCCACAACTAAAAATACACAACTATGTACTGGGGGGCTTTGGGGAGAAAAAGGAAAAGTAAAATCTATTAAAAAAAAAAAAAGAAAAAGAAAGACTTGCTCAAAAAATGTGTTCTCAGGCTAACTCGAGTAATGGGACATTTCCTTGCTGCTGGAAGGTTCCTATTCACAGCAAGGGGACGAGTGCAGAGAACAAGGGGGACTGAACTAACATCTCCTGGGGCTCAGGAAGGATGCCACAGAGACTGTCACGTACTCCTATTTTCAGGGGCGCGCGTTCTGGATTCCCGAATTCCACAGCACTGCACTAAATGAGGTGGATTCCCTGAAAGCAGCAGGGAACGTCCATTCCTGTTAGTTTGCTATTCTTTCCTTACTAAAGACAGTGTATTTTCCTATTTTGCCAAATACAAATACCTGTTAAAATCAGTAACTGCCAGTTATTCATTCTAACGCGTTCATTGCATGCTACCATGTGTGATTTGGGGTCATCTAAGCACAAGTGAGACTTCTGAGGTTACAGTGGTGTAGGATGGCAACGTGGCAGAGTGAAAAGAACATGTGACCTAGAACTTAGGTTTTTAAGCCAAACATTGCCATTTACCTTAATTCTCATAGGTTTCACTTTCCTCATTCATAAAACAACAGAAAACTTTTAAACTTTCTGGGCTACAGCATGTTTGATTCAAATGAAATTGGAGGCAGAAGTTCAAAGTGGGGTAGCTCTGGGTGAGCCAGGTCCAACCGGCCTTAAATCCTGCCTCCTCAACAGCCCCCTCCTCACCCAGATGCTCCCTAAGTGCCCCCCTCTCTCTCCTAGGACCCCAAGGAGAGTAACATGAAGCTACAGGAGTAGGCAATCCCTACGGTCTTTTTCACTCTAGAATTCTATGACTCTCTGGCCTCCATAACCTCAATAAGTCAATTTTAGCAAAGTCAAAGGAATCCGATCAACTATGCAATTTCTTACACCTTTTAGACAACTTTTAAAAAGGAATCTCACCACTCATCTTTACTGCAAGGACATGCTGACCATGGGGGTGGGTACCTGGTAGGTCGTGAGCGCATGAGACAACATGTTGCAGCGACTCGCTCCAAGTAAATCCACTTTCTGACAAACATCCATCTTTAACTTTTCGAAAGAAGTTTTGCTATTTCTCACTTGGATCTGTACCTGCAACCATAAAAATGTTAATGATTATTACTGATAACACAGATATAAACATATTACACAGGTTCATGATACATATTCTCAGACACATGAAATTGTAGTAAAGGACATGAACCCTCTTTCCCTGCATTATTATTTCATGATTAATGGTAAAGATTTTGGCTATTTTCAGTAATTGTAGGCGATTCTTTCTAGTAGATATCTTTATGCTAAGAAAGTTATGTGATGATAGAAGGAAGTACATAGTTACGAAGAAAAAACCACAGATTCCAAATAATAAAAAAATCTAAAACTACTGATGGATAATATTTTATCTATGAGTAGAAGAATAAACAAAAAGGGGAGATAGTTAAAGTGTTGAGAAGCACTAAGAATAGTTCTGAATCATGGAGATATATATAAACACAGGTCTGTTATATTTCTTATACATAAGGTGAGTTATATGTCACCAAGCCATGTGAATACTCAACTTTTAAATATACTAATTCATTTATTCAATGAGTACTTATAACGTATCTATTATGTGCCAGGCACTGTTCTAGGCACTGGGATATTGTGGTGAACAGAACGATGTTCTTCCCCATCTCCCCTGAGTGGTGGGCGGGGGGGACAGGAGTGGGGAGGCAGCAGGAAAAAAGAAGTAAACAAATACATAAGATAATCTCACGTTGCAACGAGAACGTGTAAATGAACAGAAATGGGTGACTGTATAAGATGATCAGGGACGCCCGGGGTGAGCTCAGGCATGACGTTTGAACTGGGACAGAAAGATGATGGGTGGGCCATGCTAAGACCCTGAGGGGAGCATTCCAGGCCCTGGGAAAAGCAAGGACAAAAGTCCTGGGCGTAGGAGGTATGCGGAGAGCTCATCATGCTTGCAGAAGAGGCAGGGCCAGGGCAGAGCACACTCCTCCCTGGATCATGGACAGTAAGTGCGAGACGTGGCTGCCGAGGGGTCGGGGTCAGACCCTGCAGGGCTATTGGGTCAGATAAGAGGTTTGGATTGTATTCTTTTTTTAAAAAGCTGAGGTAATATTCACATAACATACACCAAACCATTTTAAACTGTACAATTCAGTGATGTCAGTGCATTCACAGTGTTGTGCAACCACGCCCTTAGATCATCTTCTAATTGTCAAGGACTCTAAAGGGGACGGAACAATAGGTCGCTGTGGCCTGAAGCCATGTGTCCACCTCGTTCCCAGGTCTATCGGGAGTAATCAGTGAGGCAAGCCACTTACAACAGCTGGTACAGAGTAAAGGCTCCATCAACATTAAATACGACTTTTATGACAGGTACTCTAAATATGAAATGAATGAGTGACGGAATTTCATTATTCATATACAGTAAATTTAGGGGATGTTATTTATAATAAGAAGTTTATTTAGCAAAAACGTATGTCCATACATAGACAGTTGCTTTAAAAGTTTGTGGTCAAACTATGTATTGTGGCAGAATGAAAAATTTGATAACCTTCATTTTTTCTTATAAATAATGATGATTTTACATGAATTTTTACTTAAATTATATGTTTTCCTCACTAGGAATCTATTTCCCTCCTGTAAACAAATCACAAAAGTCCAGGGAAGCAACATTTAAAGAGTAGTTAAACCTATTATGAGAGGGAAAAAAAATAATAGAAAAGGTTGATGGGGTGGGGTGAGGACGCCACTCAAAGAGTGAAAAATAAAGTGGGGGCCAGCCCCTCGGCCTGATGGTTGATTCAGCATGCTCCACTTCGGCAGCCCAGGGTTGGTTCCCGGGTGTGGACCTACACCACTCGTCACTGGCCATGCTGTGGCGGCAACCCACATACAAAACAGAGGAAGACTGGCACAGATGTTATCTCAGGGCGAATCTTTCTCAAGCAAAAAGAGGAAGATTGGCAATGCACATTAGCTCAGGGTGAATCTTCCTCAGAAAAAAAAAAAAAAAAAGTGTGTATGGGCCAGCCCCAGTGGCCCAGTGGTTAAGTTCAGCGCACTCTGCTTTGGTGGCCCAGGTTTGGTTCCCAGCCGCAGACCTACACCACTGGTCAGTGGCCATGCTGGTGGCAGCTCACATATGAAAAGAAGAAGATTGGCAACAGATGTTAGCTCAGGACAAATCTTCCTTGGCAAAAAAAAAGCGTGAGGGCCTTTTGTAGTTCAACCAAAGATTTCCAAGTAACCAAGAATTTATAAAAGAACATGTTTTTCAAAAACAGTGTGACATTTTATGATCTTGATTAAACTGTTTTGTAGAAGTTTAATAGGTTTATGTATCAAGAAAAGGAAAAGAATACATTTTCATACTTTTCTGAACTTTTCCAGCTGTTTTAAGGTGTCTGGGTCCAGTTCTTGGGATACATCTTTCATCCACAGCAGAGCCCCCCTGTATTCTGTGCGTGCCTGTTCCATCCGATGAATTGTCATCAAGGTATCAGATACCGCCCTTTGACTGAACGTTGCTACTTCTTGCTTAAGACGAGACAGGGGAGTACACAGGGCCAATCTAATGCAAGAATCAGAGGGAGGTACATCCCATAAGCAAAACGAAACAAAAACATAGGTTTAAAACAATGACAAACCATATTTTCTATCAAGATGAGTCTATAAATAGGATTATTAAGATGCCTAAGGAGCTTTAGAAAGCAAGTCAGCATCATACAGCCAACTTTGAATTGTTAATAAAGATATGTCTATATCTCTCCCTTTCTTATTTTGGGAGATATATCATTTTTGCAACATTTTGGATGTTAACCCATGCATAAATAACCTGCCAAGTAAATCTGCCATTTGGAAAAGAGTTCCATGGGTAAAAGAGGTTCTCTATTCATAAAGCAGAGTCCTATAAATAGAAATCCCTTCATTTAACAAATTTAGGAGAAACCTGGCTATAGAAAAGCAGATAAAATACTAGAAGAACTAATGAGAATTGTGTTCTTAGCAGCTGAGGATGAGGACGAAAAAACAAGGACTTAAGAAACACAAGTCAAACCCTGCTCCTCTGGTCTGCTTTTGACTTAGTGGCACTGGAGGGCCTTGCATTGTCTCTCTGTCACTCCCTTGGAAAAGGACTTCCGCACTGACGTGCTGCATAAGAACAAAGCCATTTTGGGGGCCAGCCCCGTGGCACAGCGATTAAGTGCTCACGTTCCTCTTTGGCGGCCCCAGAGTTTGCTGGTTTGGATCCCGGGTGCAGATATGGCACCGCTTGGCAAGGCATGCTGTGGTAGGCGTCCCACATAGAAAGTAGAGGAAGATGGGCACAGATGTTAGCTCAGGGCCAGTCTTCCTCAGCGAAAAGAGGAGGATTGGCAGCAGATGTTAGCTCAGGGCTAATCTTCCTCAAAAGAAAAAAAAAAGAATTAAGCCACTTAAGTCTTACATCATCCTTATGGGGCTGATAGGGCCTGCTTTTATCTTTCTTCTGAAAAATGCAAAGATTTTTGGCTGTATTTAGTAACTGCAGGAGATTCTTTGCAACAGGTATCTTTATGCTAAAAAATTATAAAATGATGAATACAAAGTATATAATTAAGAAGAAAAAGTTCCCTCTGCTTAAAAAGAAAAAATGTTCCAATGTACTCATAGATAGTATAGTATCAAAAAAAGTGAAAGCAAAAAATAAAACTATACATATTTAAATTTTAGCCATTCTGTGCCTCCGTTACATTAGACCACTTAAGAAATTTAAATACCTAAAGTCTATTTCTAGGAATTAAGCAACTAAGAATGTCAATTTTTAAGTAATTATTTTAAATACAAAATAAATAAGAATTAGGCCTCAAATCAATTATATACTGCAATATATTTCTCTTTTAACCTTCTACTGGAATGATCAGTAACCTTTACAAATATGCAAATTTAGGTACATACGTCAAAACTGTCATATTGACTACAGATTTAAGGATGATGCAAAATCATGGTAAACCTTTGCTGGGCTGAAGAACAGAGTGCCTTGCCAGTGGCATCCATCATTTTGCCAGCTTGCGTTGTATCCCGTTCTGCTTGAAACTTTAAAAAGAGCCCTAGTTCGTTTTCTTCCTCTGATATAACTAGGAAAAAAATTACAGTACAGTTAACTGTTTCATCATTTGTTTAAAATACACACAAGTAAAATTCTCACAGCAATATTCTCTATACTTAAAATTACTTGCGGGGGGGGGGGGAAGAAGAAGAAAGACTTCTTTTAGAAATGTAAATTCTTGGGCTTTGGGTTTTGACGCAGCAAATCCATGGAACTCACTTTGGGAAAAATTGATCTTCAGTGAAAAAAAAAAATCCAAAACAACAAAATAAAACAAACCCACAAATGATGCATTTTCAAATGTGCAGAGACGCATTTTAGGACCACTGCCTTTTGTAAAATATTCGTTTCCTACTTAAATGTAACTTACTCTCGACTCCCATCCTGGCTTCAGTTTCCTATGCTCAATATCTCAGACTCACAGTTGGCTACAATTTTGCTCCTGAAACCCTAGAAGTTGTCATGTAAATGCTACTCAAAGTGTGGCCCACTGACACACGCCAGTCCAGAACCATTTGTTACCAGCCTGTGACAAGTACCAAAACTAAGAAACTGTTCAGAAACTTTCACCACGTTGACTATTTTAGATCTGTGGAGTCTAATTACAAAAAAAAGTGCGCTTATATTTTGCATATCTTCTTTAACTTTTCTAAAAATTCATTTTTACTGTATTTTACAAAAGTGTCAGTTTACAAGAGATTGAAAGTAAAACACGAAACAAAAAAGTGGAACTTCACCACAGTTTTAGAAGCACGGCTGTAGCATAAGATGACCATCACCACAATAAGACCAACGGAGGGAACCCACAAAGTGTTCAAACTCTAAGGTTAAAGTGAAAAAAACGACAAATGCCATGCCATTTCACCCTAGTTTGCTGATGGAAAAACTGAAGTTACAAACTGAAAGAGAGGCCCTGGGTGCCTCTGGGGCAGCAACAGAACTCAGGCCTCTGACTTGCTCTCTCCCCACTCCCCCCGCTCCTCCCTGTTGAGGCTGCAAGGGGTCCCATAGGAGAGCACGATGGTGTCAAGGAGGAGGGTGTCTGCACATCCCGGAGTATTATCTTTAATAAAACCATGTGCTCTTTTATGAACAATCAACCTGATCCAGAGAGGACTGGATTTGGGGACTGTTGTTAATTTAATATTCTGATTACTTGAGAGACGTACAGATTACACATTTCCTTTGAGTCAGGACTTCATAAAATATACCTCAAAGAAAACTACTAGAAAGAACATTAATTTGTATACGACACTCTCTGAGAACTTGGATTACTTCATTATCAAGTTTTAACTGAACAGGAATCATCACTGAGCCTCACCCTTATCAGTGCAGAAAGGGTAGGAGATGAAGCTGAATTTGTGCTGATTCTGTGTTGGAACCCACTGCCAAAAACTGGAGCCGCTCCCACTCCTCTGTGTCCTTACCCAGTCAAGAGTTCCCATAGGGTTTACAGTGCTGGACTCGTCTCCTGTAGCTGTCTGATGTTAGTCTCAACAGAAGATGCATTGCTAGAATAGTCTTCAAGAAGTCACATATTTATAACAATCCAGAAGATAAAGTACGCAATGAAATCTTTACACGCACATCTCTCCCTTATCCTGAAATGCTCCACCGGTGGGCTAAAAGAGCTAGGGATTTTTCAGGACAAAATGCAAGACATACAAACCTGCCAGTGTTTCTTCACATTTCTAGCACAGGACTCCCTTGGTCCAATGACTGTGATGGCTTTTTACTGCCTGGTGAAATATTTAAGGTCCTTAGAAATCTGACCTCAACCTTCCTTTGTTTCCTGACTGCAGATATCCAACTTCTATAAACCCTTTAAGTTTTACCTCAACTCTCAACTATGGAGTGCCTTTACCAATGACTCTAATCCACAGTTATTTTTCACTCCGAGAGAATTCAGAGTTCTACCTGTATCACTCTTCTGAACTAAATACATACTCTTCTGTATCTCTTATTTTGTTGCAAAAAGTTGTTTCTCCAGCTATTTCCTTGGGAAAAGCACATAGTGTTAAATATGGCAGGCACTCAAAAAATTATCATGCTCTACTGGATTTCTTGCTTTATTGGGACAATGTATGAGCTTTGATTATAAAGTTTTGAGATTAATTTACATAGCTACACAAGAAAATCATTCATTGAGCAAGTACAGATTATATACTAGACATTGTTTCTAGGCTTTGAGGATGCAGAAATAAAACAGAAAATTCCTGTCCTTAAGGAGAGCATATTCTAGTGGTGGTAAGAAAAACAATAGATAAAATATATAGAATGTTGAATATTGTTATGTGCTACTGTTAAGTAGATAGAGAGTTATGAGAAAGAGGGATGTTTCATTTTAGATATAGGGGTCAAGGAAGGTCTCACTCAAAGATGACATTTGACCAAATACCTAAAGGCAGTCAGGGAACATACTATGCAGATATGCCTACTGTGATGGAGATCAATATGGCTGAAGAGGAGAGAGTTTTAGCAGAGGAGATGAGAGGTAAGCAGGATCAGAGAGGTGGCCACAGCCAGGAAACCATTGTAGTTAAAGGAGAAGAGATCCAAAGATTGACTTCCAAACTGAAGAGGTCAAGAAGAGAGGAGAATCCAGCAAAGGCAGGATAATGAGAAGAAATGACCAGTAGGAGGAAATCCAGGGAAGTGTGGTGCCTGGAAGCCAAGTAAAGAGAGTGTATCAAGGATGAGACAATAATCAACTATGCTAAATAATGTGATAAGTCAAATAAGACAAGGACTGAGAATTGATCATTGGACTTAGCTCTTTGTGACTATGACAAGAACAAATTTGGTGGAGTGGTGGGGAAGAAAACGTGACTGGAGTACAAGAGAAAGTAGAAGGAAAGGAATGGAGACCGTGCATACAGACAATCACGGTTGGCCCTATCCACGAGTCAACTTTAATCCACAGCTGGTTGAACCCATGGATGCGGAACCTGTGGATACAAAAGGCAGACTGTAGGAATTTGAGTACCCGTGGGTTTTCTTATCTGTGGGAGGTCCCGGAACAAATCCCTGCGGATACCCAGGGATGAGTGCATGTCAAAATTTTCTGTGAAAGGAGCAGAGGAAGGGGATGATAATTGCAAGGGCAAGAGGAGGTCAAGAGAGAGAGTTTTTAAGTGATGGAGGCAAATCCACCTAAGACACTGGGCAGGAAAAGTGAACTCAGCAAAATGAATCTGCTTCAAGATTTGATGATTTTAGGACTCTGGGGGCTTTGAGACTAGGTCACTGTTAAATGTTCACATTTTGTCATAAGAAACTATTCACAAAAAAGTTCAAAAACTAATATTTTTACATTAAAGCTCTCATTTTCAAAAATGCAAATGAATATTTATTTTAAATGGAAATCATCAGATAGACATCTAGGATTTCATACCATTGAGTCTTAGCTGATATTTCTCAACTATCTTCAGAAGTTCAGTGCATGTCTCTTGAATGGAGTGAAAAACCTTTGAAATATAAATTTTGTTAGGACAATTTAAAGAACTGTAAACAAATAAAAGTATCTGTTATAAGCACTTCAAAAGCAGAACATTTTCTTATGACGATTGTGTCTCTTTTCCTTGACTGCGATGTACCTCAGTTTTGGTTTTATTTCTGATGTAGAAAGCACATATTGATTTCCCCTATGAGGGCTGGAAAAAATTGCGGTAAATACATGGGAGCTAATAAAAACTTATACCTGTGGAGTTTGTCCTCCCTTCAGCTCCAAACTATCTAAACAGCAAAAAGACAAACCCAACATAAACTGCATCAAACATTGTCAACCACAGATGACAAGAGTACAGATAATCCTAGAAAGTGCTGCCTCTGAGTCTGGCTTTGCTCCAACATTGGTCTAAGCAAAACAGGCCAGTGAATTTACCATAAACGTTAAATAATGTATTACAACATCAAAAAGAAATTACTTTTGGGATTATTTTTGTTTAGAATTTCCCATGAATATCAATCCCTTCATTACTACTGTTGCTAATAGGTAACAGAAAAACATAATATGCAGTAGACTCCATTTCAAAGTGAGCGCATGAAAATTTGAGACTAGGACACATTATATGCACGAGGTAACTCTTCTCCCTACAAATTTAGGTTTTCGCAGAGAAACAAGCCGGCATCGGTTTTGGGGTGCAGCCTTTTTCTCACAAAGTCCTACGCTGAAGAACTGTTCTGAGACTTTAGTTCAAAAAGACCTTGGCCCTGTGGTGTAATATCAGGCCCTAACCCTCTGATTACCAAATAAATTTCCAGTATCACCATTAAGCCTGAGTACTCTGTCTGAAGCGGTTTTGCGATTATTTTCATGTTTGATCAGACCTAAGGAAGAGTGATAACAGGTGCTAAAATCTAAATGGAGGGGCAACCATTAATTTTCTATATATTTTAGGTATGTTTGAGTTGGATTTGGTATATGGACTTGGCAATTTAAAAGCCGTTTTAAATCCATATGGAAGAAGACTAGAAAAGAATGCAAAAACTATTGTTCTACTAAGATGAAGTGATTACTGTTGATTTTTTCCCCATGGGTCCTTGAAAGATTTATATACTATTGTTTTTTAATTTTACAATGAAAATACCTTTTTAAGTGAGGTATAACTTGACAAATAAAATTGTAATATATTTAAAGTGTAAAAGGTGATGATTTGATATAAGTATACATACAATAAAAATATTTTTCTTTCTTTTTTTTTCTCTTTTGCTGAGGAAGATTCACCCAGAGCTAACATGTATTGTCAATCTTCCTCTTTTTGTGTGTGAGCTGCTGCCTCAGCATGGCCACCAACAGACGAGCGGAGGGTCTGTGCCCAGGAACAGAACCTGGCCACCAAAGCAAGAGCGTGCTAAACTTAACCACTAGGCCACTAGGGCTGGCCTCATTCTTAAAAAAAATAGTACAAACGTGAGACATAGTTCTTGGTTAATTCCAAATATTTGACACTGAATATAAACTATGTCACCCATAGATTACCTAATGATGTAAAACAATACAAAAAAATCTCTTTTGTGGGAATATATGCAGAAACAATGAAGAGTTCTCTTAGCATTGAAACATATATTACTTATAATAAAGTCCCTTCATTTTTTCCATATTTGTCATTGAATCCAAAGAGGAATGCTTTTCAACACAATAGTAAAAGCTTGTTAATTTGTTATCTATCTCCATATTTGTCATGGCAATGACGTAAGTTTACGTTTTGTAGAATGAAAATACTCAGTAGAGTAGGATCTATCTACTTATACCTACATTTTTAAGAATCCCAACAAATGATTATATTCCAAGCACAACAGAGCCCCTGCCTGGAAATATGTGTAAAAACTATCTTAAATTAGTACATGTACGTGGAGTTAGTAAATCTGCATTTAAAATTCCAGACCTCTTCACTAACATACATAAGATCTTTCCTCTAATTAGCTTAGTTACTTGAAAGTGGAAAAAACTTATAGGTTTAAAGTTGTTTCATGGTAATTATTCCTTTTATTTAAAAAGAAAAACAGAGCCAAAAATGCACAATGAAATACTTCAATCGCTCTACCCCTTAATAACAGAAACAAAAACTCTGACTTATAAATCCTCACTCACTATCTGATTTCAGTTAATCTATTTCAGTGAGGTGTAAGACTTCACACAAAACTAGTACAAAATATGATGACGATATATACTGAGTATATGGTCTCAATTAGGGATATAATTAATTCATTAACATCTAGCTTAAAAACTGTAATACTTGTGCCAGAGAAATTACTTAATTCATGATTTACTTAATTTATAAATACAGTTCTGCCAATGCTCAATTTGTGAGAACTGTGACCTCCTATGCAGAAGATCTGATTGACAGATACAATTAAACATTCTCTTTCCACATTTGCATTTATCCTGAAAAGTTCTTCGGTGTGGAAGCGTGTCGTAGTCCCCCGAGTCCCAGATAATGACCAGTTATGTGCAATACACAGAACCCTCAAATTTACCTCGAGTTTGGCATCCAGTTCGGCATCAGATGCCACCACGTGCTCATCCTCCTTTTTTCCTGTTGCTTTGATAAAGACTTGTTTCGTTTTCCAGTATTTCTTTTGCATTCTGTTGACAACTGACTGGTTATCTTCTGGTCTGGGTTGCCCAAAGGAAGCCATGGAGGGACTACAAGGAACGGACTAAAATTAAATTTCTTTAAAAAATCTTTCCAATAGTAAGTATCTATTTAGCCAATATCTAATCTAATTGAAAAACTGAAAAAAGATACTAAATAGAATATTAATGTTAACAGTTAAACATGCTAATATTTCTCTGTGTGGTCTAAATTTATATTATAATTACAACTTGCACAAGTAAAAGGCAAAAAGATTCATAGCACTTATACTGATTTCAGTTAAAGTGACACAGGTGATAAAACTGTTATGATTTTGCAATAATGGCTGGAAATAACTCTACTTTGTTTAACAAATCTCTACTTGTAGTCATTTATCCGTTTCTAACTTTTGCTTTTGTAATAATACTGCAAAGTGAACTTGTGCACACATCTTTGCATACTGCTGTCATTTCCTTGGGAAAACGTCCTATAGTTCTAACTGCTATGTCAGCATATTTAATAAATATTTTCAGATATGCAAAGATTCGGATACATACTCTTCTTTAAAAATCACTCAAAGAAATACTTTATATCCAATAAATAAACAAAGACCTTAGGTATAGGGGAGATATGTTATAAAAGAAATAGAGAAGGAAATTGTAACCTGTAAACTTAAAAATTTATGTCTAAGTAATTGTTCTTAACATAGTTAACATGGCTATATAAGGAAACGCAAACGTGAAAAGTATCCCTTAAGGAGATATAAAAAAAAGAAATAATAATAGTTTAAAAGCCCGAATTATTGCAATAAATGGTGGGAGGCAGGAACAAAGGGAGGGACTGAAGTCTGTGGCTCCTGCCTCATTTCCAGGGGAATCAGCAGATACTGCTGTATTCTTAATGTTTGTAAAGAAACAGGTGCACACTTTCATTTTATTTTGAAGTAATTACTAATTAAACAAAAATAGGACATCTAATTTCTAAATTACTAGGGGCAAAACAAGAGCAGGAAGAACTAGCAAAGCCACAGGCGGGCAGGAGCGCAGGAGTGCGGCAGCATGACAAACGGCGTGAACGAAGGGGACAGGGTGAAAATGACGAGCTACTGAGTGTGATAAATGCCAACTTCCTCCTCACTGCAAACCACCCCAAGTCATAAACCACAGAAACCATACCAACTCTATGTTAGTTGGGATCCACCTAAAACAAAATGACACAGAAGGAATTATGGGTTAGGATATACCAGGTAAATATAGACAAAATGAAAGCAAGGATAGCCTGTTAATCTCAGACAAAGTAGGTTTAAATCAAAACCATTAAATAGAACAAAGATAACACGTAAAGTCCACGGGCGGTCACTCTTCCAGATATCCTCTGGACATCCCCCTCTGGACATCCCCTGCTGGACATCCTCCTTGATTCCCGGGCAGCATAGATCAGTCACCATGTAACTGCAGAACCTCTCATATGCTATGCTGGATAACTTGGCTTAATTTGGGACAGAAAATAGAGAGGGAATTCAATCTTGGGACAAAGGGGGACAGGATTTGATATAAGCATTATACTGTTGACAAATAAAAAGTCAGGGGGGAAAACTGGCACTTTATGTTTCCCCTCCAATTTCTCTCTGCTTTGGTTGCTCTTCACTGCTTCAATGATTTTTTTCCCCTCAGACTGTTATCAACATGAGGGTCATCCAATTGTAGGACAACCTGCTGACCTCTTCTACTAAGTTGACTGCAGGCCCAGGCTCAGTTAAGAGAACAAAATTCTAGGGAGTTTCAGAAGATAACATCTCCTCCCCACTTTGACTCTCACGCTGATGTAGCTCAGACAGTGTACTCCTGGCCTCCCTCTACTCCTCCTACCTCCTTCATGGGAGAGAAAGAGTAGCTTATCTGATTGGATGTGAGAGCAGTAAACTTGGTCCTCCCTTCCCTCTCTAGAAGCCTACAGAAAGCACACATGATCTGGCAAGGGGAGGACAGTGGCTGGCGGGTAAATCTCAGGAAGGGGGATTTGCACATTTGTGGTTTGCTGACTGAGGGCGCTGCTGAATCTGCCTGTCAGCGGGGGTGCATTGAGCAGAAAGCCAAGTCTTACTGGCTTGAGACATCCGATGACAGACTTCCAGGTTGGAGAACTATCAGAAAGTTAGGAAGGATAATGTGTAAGAGAGGGAGCCAAAGAAGAGGTGATCCCCAAAATCAGTATACCAAGTCCTCCCAAGACCCATGTTGATCACTAAACTAACCATTAGGTGAGGGAGGGGACCCCAGGGGTCCTGGCAGAA